GACTGATTTAGCCAGATGGCGCGGCATCCCCTTCCCTCCGTGTTTGTTTATGAATCTTCGTGGCCGACAGGCACCTCCCGAGCTCTACTTCGAGGGCGCACTGGAAGAGATTGTGGGCAATGATCTGCTCATAGGTGCGCCTTTCATCAGATCTCTCAGCATAACCTACCTCGAGACCGACTTTTTTCCCAGCCATTTGGGAGTCAACGATCAACTGGGAGCGCCCCCGCGGTGCAGCGATTGTCATATTCTAGGACATAGGCGATTACAATGTCCTAATCGAGTTCCTAAGTAGTCTTTATATAGAAACGCAGTTATTTGGTTGATAAAGACTCTAGTATTTGGCCCATGGGCAGAAATTGGATGCGGGTGGCTATTCCGCTTGTGTGGCTATCTCGCCTATGAAATACGTTATTGTTTGGAACACAATGATGCCCGGGCAAGTCGCGTCCACTCGTGGCACCAAAAAAATTCGGCAGATCGATTGTGTACCAATGGGACAGTTACAATCACATCAATCGGTTTATGCCGGTGAAATGAAACCCGTCGGTGACACTTCCGACCAAAACTGCAAGGAAAATGCCCGAGCATGACCGCATAAAACTAGGCCAGCTCCACATGATCGCTGCGATGACCGGTCATCTCGTCGAAACACGGTCAAGACAGAGGAGACATGCCACGACTTTTCTTTTCCTTTGAACAATTCGACCGATATAATCATGACTTGAATTATGATAAGGCTCAAAACTGGGGAATTCCGATCCGGTCGTCGACGAGATGGATGTTGGATATCGAGACCGGCAGGAAATAATACCCGGGCATCTTCATGATCCAGGTTGGTCTGGATCAGGCCATTCTCTGCTTCGGACTATCTTGACTGTGTCTACTTCAGACCGACCTCTTTCTTTGGTTTTATTCTGCCAGGACCATCGTCACTCTCAAGTAGAACATAATTAAACACAATATGTAGAAAGCTATGGATGAAATTGAGAATGTCGTGTAGATACGTAGGTAAACATGTCCGGCCACCATTCACCAACACGGCCTTGGCCATTGTCCGGGCAAGATGCAACCGTCAGAAATTCCCGTCGCCCGCCCGGTTATTCTGAACGCTAGTCTGAAGTGCATACGTCTTCCAACTCAATTAACATACAAAGCTTTTTTGTGCGCAATAGCATACCTCACGGTATGTAGCTGTAGACTTGTTAGGTACGCGACACGCCGGCGAGACGGCAATCCAGCATCTCGGCCATTGCCGAATTTTTCTTGGAAACATGATGCCGGGCGATCCCTTTTCACGGCGGGCAAGTCGAATTGATTTGGTCCTGTTGGTCCTCAGGCAACAGATGGTGCCCGGGCAACCCGACGTCGCGTTGTGTGCAATGAATACCAAGGCGAATGGCGGGAAGAAAGGGGAAGACGGTTGAATGCGATCCCGCGGCACATAGCAGGCAGCGGGCCAGCGAACGCTAGATTGAACATGCCTGGCCATCTGTATCAATCCTTTGCCAAGGCAGATTCATGATTTTCTTTCGAACCAAACCCCGGAGCTTCGTCTGTAGCGTTCACGCGACCTGAGAAGCCCAGTATATTGGCCGGGTTATGCATAATCATTCCCGCTTGGACATATTCAGTGTCTGCAGGCAAGAACGGATGATGCAGCTCAACCGCTTAAAAAAAGCCAATCGTTTTGTTCTGCCACCTTCTGATGCCGTTGGTAAGGGTAGATCTGTGCTGCAGGGTGAGAGAATCGGATGGTGGCACACCTAAGCCATTTCCTCATTCGATCCACGTGTTTTCGCGTTTATCCAACACCACAGCCGAAGTGGTAGGGATCTGCGTCCACACACCTGGGCTTTCTGCAGAGCGCCTGACAAGAACTGTTACTGTATCTGCTGCCTGTAGTTGGCACTCATAGGCTTGGGACCGAATCTACTGCGTCACAAGTTCTGCACATGTGAACCAGCCTAGATCTAACCTCTCTCACCTTCAGGGCAACATACCTCAACCCAAGTAGACTGATATGATTCGGCAGAATCCGAAACCACTAGATGATACATACAAGATGGTATATTGATTTGCAATCAATTTGGTTCACAACATGCGAACGAACTTTCCATCTGAGCAGCCAAGTAACAAGACAGAATCTACCACAGGCCACGATCGCCAGAAACAATGGCTGAGTGTACACCGTCAAAATCAGTGAAAAGCTTGCCAGCAGGAATCGGTTTGGCTTCCTCGCGTTCGAGGTGGGCAGCGTCGTATAGCGCCGTTGCAGTGGCCACTACAACGCTGTCTCTGGCCACTGTTGCCTCTAGCCAGTTCAACTGCCTTCGAAACACCCGTCTGGATACGACAGTCAAAGTATCGCCTGGAAGAAACCGTTCATAATATTATACGCTGAAGTTCCGAATACACCCCTGATCGCTGAATGTCGAGAACATCTGCAAAGCAAGTCGATCAATAGATGGTATCCTGCGACTCGTCGGTCTTGAGGAACTACAGCTGCGCCTTGGACCGTGAATCCGACTGTGGGCTGAATTGCCAATGTTTTCAAAAATTGTTCCTCCAGCGCGGCGGATGTATTCAGGTCCAGTTGGGAGATAGCTTCGGCGAGCGTAGAGAGTTCGGGAACGGGTGGCAGTCGGCAGCAGGGGCACTCCAACGTAGACGAGACTGGATCAGACTCTGAACCTGAACTCTCGGAGAGCTGGGGTGGGATTCCTGGAGCAGAGTCGACGGCGCGGCTGGGGTTGCTGGCCGTTCAACAGGATGGGACATGGTGTCGACTCAAGCAGGCAATTCGCAATCGAACCAGCCGTCGGGCTTCAAGTTTCCCAGTAGGGCACCTGTTTATGGTGGAGAAGGTCTCGAATGTAGGGACTGATGGCAGATACTGAGTTTATGTAGGGTTGAAACTGCTCAAGCGCTTGGGGCTGATGAGTATTGAAAGGCCTCAAAACTCGCTCTTACCCGGCTCTTACCTCCGCATCGAGAGCCAAGCTTTTTTCCGTCGCCATCTATGCTGCCTGGAAATTCAGATCGTCAGGTGCAATGCCCTCAGATTAGGGAGTTGACATTCTTCACTGCCACAGGGCGGGCCATGTTCAGCTGCGTTGTTGGAAAACCCTCATGTCTGGCGTGCAACGACGTTGCCAACCATGTCAAAATGCGCTGTAGAAATCTTCCCCGAATGTCTCCGCTAATGTCATCGGCGCTCTGGTTGATGTCCGTCTATTCCGCAAAAACTGAGTGTTGTCCATGAGCAATTTGCCATCATTTATGGAGCCTATACTCGAGCTTCTTCAGGCCTTTCATAAACGCCGAAACTCGGCGGCAGAGAACGAACGTAAAGGTCATTGGAATCCCAACAACATGCACTCAGCAAGGAATGTTGCTTTCGTTGCGGCATCGGGCACACTTGGAACCATGGTTTGGGAAAGACTCCTGGCGTGGGAACATTCAATGCCCTAAGACGTGCTGGTTCCTCCACTTTTCCTGCCTTATTCGTTGCACGAATCTCTGGTGTCAGTATTAGCGGTAGCGGCATCCAATTAGGCCATCTGCAAAATATGCAGCATCCCAGAAAATCATTACTCTAATTTGCTATGTTGTTTTGGGGAGTTATCTGAACCCCTACATTTAAGGATGATTAGCTGGGACATCAGTTTGCCTCTATGGCTCGTTTTCACATAGTCACGCCATAGACAACTTGTGGACCAAAAAAAAAAAAAAAAAAAAAAAAAAAAAGGGACATTGAGTAGGAGACTATTTAATCTCGGATAATCGAGACAAAAAGTTAGACCCAAAAATATCCTGCATCGCCCAATGAGCCAAACGTCTCCACTCATCACCTAGGATATACCACAAAGCGCGAGCAATCTGAGCCCCCCTATCTCCAAGACCCCAGAAATGCCTCAGCCGATGTAAGACAACACAGTAGTAACACAAAATTACTAACGCCAAGGGGTCGTAGCTGCGCACCAACTCAACATACGTTGACGGCATCCTGATCGCGATTCTAGTAGCGGAAGCCACAGCGCTGAAGCCCCCTAATACTTCAGCCAGTCCATCTTGTATGCAATGAACGGTCCTGAGTAAGTCACAGCGGATATCGTCTGCACCATGATCATTAATCATCCGGCGCAGTTCTTTGAAAGACAAACGCGCATCTTCTGTGAGCCTCCACTCTGAGCCTTCCCATTGGAGCAGTGGCTTCAATATACTGTTCTTTAGGTAGCAAGCGGCTTCCTTTAAGATTTGATGTACCCTGGGCAAACACAATTACCTGGCAGATATCGTCCACAACCATTCGCGGTTCAATAGAGCGGGGCGCTTGAGGATATGCAAAACCATAAACGGTGAGGATACTGGCAAATGCGAATACGGCAACGGAGTTAGACCCTTTAATATCATCAAGGGTTGGGCGAAAAATGGCCAAATCTATAGCTAGCCTGCAGGAGGGACTACGTTTCGCAAGGGACGATATCTCGCAGGCGATCCGGATTCTACAGCGGCACCAATCTCAACCTGAACCCCTGGGAGGCGCTGGCTCTGAGACAGCTCCTCGGTGCTGCTAGCTTTACACGTGCCGTGGCCGAGGAAGTAGAGTAGATAGTAAGTCATTTTAAATACCCAAGTTAATCACGCCCGAACACCATTAGCCATGTTAAGATAAATGATAGTAAGGTTGATTCTTTATTAATTGACTTGAGGAGTTATCTTTACATGGGCGGGATGTATAAAGCGCTCTTCTAGTTAAACAGGTGACTCTCTGCCACCTAAATAAGCGATCTTGTTCGGCATCTCCTATCAAGACATCTAGAAACCCATTGCCAAATCGAGTTCATCGGCGTGTCATCCTGCGTGACTATAGGAAACCAATTTACAAGGCAAGCACTCACCAGACCCTGCTTGCCGCGTTAGAAGGCTGTATTGCAGGGCATCAGTCCTTGCAACAAGCAGGGATCCTTCATCGAGATATTTCAGTCAACAATCTCATGATCAACGGGGATAAAGAGAACCCTTCATGGCCATCATTCTTGATTGACCTTGATTTGGCAATCGAAGAGAAGCGGGATGGTGTTTCTGGAGGAGCAGATAGAAAGACCGACACGAGGGCCTTTAAGGCAATTGGCTCACTCCTGGGCGAGAAGCATTCTTTCATGCATGATCTTGAATCATCTTTCTGGGTGATCTTTTGGATATGCATCCACTATGAGGGACCAGGTAAGGGACGAGTCGTGGCGAGGTTTGACAAGTGGAACTTTGTGGATACGGACGAGTTAGCTGGTATGAAGAAAGGCGAGATATATGAAGCAGATTTCGCAAGGTTCGCGATTGAGTACTTCACAGAGCTTCACAGAGTACTACCAACCACTTATCTTATGCATCAACACACTTCGCAAGGAAATCTCCTAATGGAAGGAGATGGGCGAAGGAAGATTCAGGATTGTATGATCGGATGAAAGCCATCCTACGGGGCGCCCGAGAGGACTGAGAATGTTAGAGCTGTAGTTTTGTATTGTGACGCCATGTCAGAACCATGAATCTGTTGAGACAGGCTATGATGAAATGAATAGAGCGTGAGGGTCGCTTGACAAATCGACCTTGGTTGAATTTGCAGAACATTCAGAGTTGACTGTTGAACCATAGGACTGATTTTACATGTGAATCTGCGGGTATTTATCCTTGAACGAGCGAAATAGCCACTGATAATGGTAAAGTCACGATCACGCCGGGGATGGTTTTGATCCCGACGCACCAATTCGACAACGACCTCGAGAATATTGCCATCCTCATCCATCGGCTGCTTCATCTTTACCTACGATACAGAGGTCGCAAGGATCACGCGCTAGAGGTAAGTCGCGGCGGTATTGCACACAGAAGTGCCTTCTAGGCCTGATTAAAGGAGGAAAATTGGATCGGAAATGTCCCAACGTGTCTGGCCACGTGATTGATCGGCATCAAGTAAGTCGGACAACCCTCATCCGATGCCTCAGCCAGCAGCTTTCCAGTGATATTTTGCGGCCTGATACGAATTTTGGGTGCGAATCGCTGTACATGCACGGTAGATGTGGGGCGCTTTTCAAAATCGCTCTGGTCTCAAGGTTATACATTTGTAGGCAAAGGCGCACCGATAGAATTTGTGGACCGGATCCAGAACGAGGAGCTCGTGTATTCACGTCTTGCCCCAATCCAAGGGACATTCATGCCAGTCTTAGTTGGCGGCCTACGACTTCGGCGCCGGTTCTCTTATGACGGGATCTCCCTGATGTGTATGGGCTTTGCCGGAAGGACGCTTGCGCAGTGAGTGGGTCGATCTGGGTAACGGAAGATAGTAAACCCGGAACCGGTCAATATCAAATGACAGCGACATGGCTGTATGGCCTACTCAATCGGAGTGAAATGCTTGAATTCTCTATGAAAAGGGGTTGAGCGCTATCTAACTGAGTTGTGTGGGTTTGCCAAGCCGCCATATAAAGAAGGCGGACTGCGGCGGCAGTATCGCCAACATCAAATGCCCGGCTTGATAAGGCCCTTCTTCCAGTCAATATAAGAGCTGCTATCCCTCCTCAAACCCTCAGATCAAAGACGACATCGGTACAAACCCCATAATCGCATGCCCCAGAATCAAACATATCTACAATCATTCTAAGTTACTATGGCTGCTCCGCTTAAGCGGCATCGTACATCTTTGGAAGGGGTCATCTTTCCTCCATCCCAACGCTTGGCGCAGGAAGAGCATGACGAAGCCACTAAGCTTTTTGACAGGCTCATGGACGATTACGAGCCATTGCAGGCATCCAACAATGATTACAAACCAATAACGCTTCTACGCCTCACGAAGGGGGGGATCAATGCTAAAGACAAGTTTCTGATACTCTTTTTCTCTTTCATCGAATACGAACGACTTGGAGTCAAACAAACCAGTCTGGCTGAGACGCTCGTAGGGTTACAAGGCTTTCAGGGATGGACTTCCGAAGAACGGAATGTTCTTTATCGGAGTCTAGTCAACTTCGCTGATTATCTGATGGATAACTTCTTTCTACCACGTATGTCGCTAATACCTAAGTACCTGAACCGTGGAATGCTTACTTTTCTTAGTTAAAACATTGGCCGCAAAGACTCCTCAACCTACGCCGGCATCAGTTTCTCGTCTGAAAGAGTCAGGACAAGCTATTGGTACCCCGCAGCGCATCTCTAATTTGCGGAAAACATGCCTTACACGTGATCGGCATCGATGTGTGGTAACGCGAAAATTCGATGTCAGGGAGGCTGAAAGGCGATACAAGTCTGATGGAGAAAACGTGCAGGATGATGACGGGAATCCTTTACTGCCGGAAGCCGAAGACGCGACTAATCTAGAAGTAGCGCATATCATTCCTCATTCTCTCATGTCTCATAGTGACAGTGCCGGAGAGTCGATACTAGTACGTCATTATTGATATTTTCGGCTTTCTGCTGACAGATCTTCTAGACTGAGCGAAAACAAATAGCCCACAAGATTCTGAAGATGTTCAACCCGGGCGCTGTCTACCTCATCAGCGGGACTGACATTGACCGGGAGATGAATGCGCTCACTTTGACCCATGATCTTCATCAATTGTTCGGTAATTTTGAGATCGCGTTCGAACCAGTCCAGGGTCAGCAATACACGTACAAGATCGACTATGTCAATACAAATCGCGGATTTCGAGCCCAAAAACTTCCTGTTACCCGTACGCTCTATATTACTACCGACAGAAGTATAGACCCGCCTTTTTCCCAACTTCTGGAACTGCATCGTGCTATCGGGCGTATTCTTCACCTTAGTGCTGCGGGTGAATATCTCGATAAATTTATCGAGGATATGAAGGATATTGAAGAAGGTGAAGTCTTCTCGAACGGGTCTACTCGAATTGATGATTACGTTCGTTATAAACTTGCGTCTGAATTTTACCAGATGGTTGTTTGCTAGGGATGGGTGAGGTGATCGTTGATAATTACAGGACTGTTTAAGGGCCTCACAGTGAATTGCTTGTATGCTACTGTTCTCTGGCTTCAGACGGCTGTCTCTTTATGGCGTAATGTATCGCTTTTCTGTATGCAAGCCCATTTCTCGAACTAACTCCTTGGCACTCCGAACCTGACCGATTGTGGCCGCGGGAGTTGACTAATCCAGCATTTCATCACCTTAAGCCGAAAGCATCGATTGTCAATTATTCAACATAATTGCATCTTATGACGAAATGAATGATCAATTATATTGCATTTTGACCATCATCTTAAAGCTCTAGAAATTGCATAAAGATGAGCTGAATTCTATAGTTAGAATAATCAAGACCTTTAACTAACTAATCAAATCGGTGGAGATCACGCAAGTTAAATAAGTATTAACTATGGGGATATGACTGTTGTTCTAAGAATTGACCCGGTAACCGGCAAATTGCCCGAAATTTATTCACCCATTTGCCCCGTGGAAGATCAGTGGATTTGGAATAGGTCGTACATACTGAATGCCACTTGCTGCCAGAAACCCCCTGGATCGACGAATAATGCCAGATACTGACCAGCGATACAGGAGGATCGTCAACAAGGTAGTCGGCGAAGTTGACTAAAGCGCTGATCTGTAGGGGCCTAAATAAAATGTCCCGGGCGACGATAATCCTTTTGATAGTACTTTTTGGCATTTAAGAGATTCCGCGTAACAAATGAACTTGCTGCGGTTTGGTAGACTGTCCTGTGGCAGCCGAGTTAGTCACACGGCTCTTATTTTATACCGGTCCGTCGCCTATCTGTCCTGGAAGCGGATGATTGGGAATAAGTAGATAAGCGAGGCAAAGATTTAAGTGGTCGTTCAACGATCGAGTTATTCGATGCTTCCCCGTTTACACAGACACAGATAATGGGGTCTAAGCAAATAGGACTTTTCCTCACCCCTTCAATCCACCGTATATCCAAGATAAGTCGCCTACCGCTCAAACGTGTCGGTTGTCCTACGCGACTAATCAGGAAGCCCTCAAGTTAAAATCAAGTTGAACGGCTTGTTTATTGATTGCCCCACATTTGTTGCGTTGTGGTTTAGATAGAATGCCCCTTACCCGAATTAGTCGATTTATATTTAAAGGTAGGATGAGCAACTTACCACATTGCCTAGAAGCCCGCTACTGGCCCGCTAGACAGCCAGATAGGTTACGTAGCGTAAATCTACTTTGATACCACTTATTTGATATAAACATGCGCTGCCACATAACCAGTATCCTAGTGACCTGGCTGTCCTGGAGAATCTAAATACTTGAACCTAGCCTATCCCAAAATCTTGTGTCTGCGCATGATTCCGGCTTTCTAACCGTGGACACACTTGCCTGCCGAAGCTGACAGTCGCGAGAGGACCACGAAGTATGCTGAGGCCTAATTGATATACCGTTTAATCTAAACCCAGAGTATGTACTGACTTGTTTCAGCAATAACAGGCTCTATCTCTTGGGAATGAATTGACAGCGACGAATGCGCCTCTAAAGAATGGACCTGTTCCTTCTTACTATATAGCGGTCATCCTCTCCCTTCCCAATTTAGAGCGGTTGAGACTTAAGTTTCAGGGCAAGTCTAGAAAAAGATATAGGCTGCCCTTCCACTTGCCCGGCAACAGCATTCTGACGAGCCTCCGAATTCTCACCATATCGCATTTCCATATTGATTCCGAACAAGCAGCCGCGTGGGCACAGTGTCTTCGGCACGGAAAACTACAGCAATTAACCCTTGAAGGATCCGCTAGGATGTACAAATTGATGGAAAGACTGCGCGCTACCGGCTGCGTCTCGAATTTGGAATCTTTCACGATACGTCTCACCGGTGATTACTACGATCGTACCCATGTACCTCTTCGTGAATTCCTGCTGCATTTCTCCCACCTGCGCGCCTTCTCGGCACACGGGCTCCCAAATATTCTTCTGGAAACATCTTCGCCTGTTCCGCTTTCGACAAGACGGCTTTATTCGATTCGAGAGTCGCACTGGGAAATCATTTCGCGACTTTGCACCCGAGAAGGTAAAAGAACTATCCACCAAGCTTCCGTTTGTTGAAAGACTGGGTATTGAACTGCGCTTTAAGAACAACATTGTGAGTGATCAGCCCCTATCCCATCCATTCCCTCTCGGGAAAGAAGATTCGTAGTGAGGAAAATCGTGTTGACTTTTCTCCGAGACAAGCCTTACAATTTCCTTAACGGCATAGCGCTGTTCCCAAATCTCAGATATCTAGAGCTGAAAACGGCTATCTATCATGTCGAAGACATCTAGCCCAAGAAGGACTGGATCGACGCGTCCGTAGCCGAACAAACATTTCGGTATGTCGACCAAATCAAGACCGGAGTACAGTTGGAAGGGCTTGACATCAGAGCCGAGCCATGGGGACATTATCACCGATGTATCAGAGAACGAAGATGCTCACAGGCAAATGCCGCCTTTTGGCTGTATATTTGCATCTCGGCGGGATATCCAAGTGCCCGATAAAATACATGTGTTCTCCTTACCGAGCAATGCACACATCTTTTGAATCCCGCTCGGGGACGATGCGTACGAGCAAACGATGTACGCAGCGGGGCTGTGGGATTTGAAGGCGAAGACCGTCTACGGGCCGCCGATCTTGAGAAACAAGTTGATAGATGTCTTCTATTGATTTCTTCTTTCTTTTGTTCTTTCTTCCTTTCTTGGTTTTGTCTTGATGTTGTTGACCGGTTAGAACCTTGCTCGACAGCACCATTTTCGAGGGCGATTTATTGGATACAGCTATCGGACTCTGGTGCTCGGAGAAGATAAGGAGAGACAATCTAGATATGCATGAACTTATCGACACATGTACTTTCCGAATCTATCGTGAGTATACCTTGGCGTTTCTTGCTTCAGAGATTCAAACTACTGAGTAGCGTACTTTCCTTGTATGTACGGACACAGCCCATAACCATATATAAACCCACATTTTGTTGACGTATAGCGATACTGCAAGGGCTTACCATTGCCTAGCCTAGGTTTTTGGTCTAGTTGGCAGTTATCGAACTTCAATAACATTCACCTCAACTCCAACTATAAAAACCAAGATTAAACACAACAAGCCTTCAGCCACAAGCCAGCCGCAACCCAAACACAGCCATAACAAGCAATCAGTTATCAACCATTAATCTGAATATCTATCAAAACATGCATTATCCATTATCCATAATCCTATCTAAGTACTGCACCGCCCACCACCTCACCTCACCTCAATTCAACCCAATCCAACTCAACATAAACCCCTCCCACCCAATCACAATTCCTACTCCATACGATGCGATCCACCAGGGCAACAGCCAAGAAAGCACGTCACATCATGTTCAATTTTTCCCGCCCTAGCGATGCAAGGATTGATCAACAGATGGATAGATTCGACAGGAAGTTGGATTTAACAACACACAGTCAGACGTATCCCGATTCGTTTCATCTTGGGGCTAATACCGGTCTATAAAGCATCCGACCAGAAAGGAAACCGGAATAGGAGACAACAGATTGTGTATCGTATATCCGTATATCTAGTTTCAGCTAAACGACACTAAACGAAAGCACAGCCTCGTTGGGGACGAGGACCGGGTAACGACTACTTAACCGTACAACGCTGCGGGCAGGGTCTGAGCCTCGTGTAGCCCTACGGGGCCGACGGGAATCGAGTGGGAATTACTAGTCCTACTAGGTACTCTAGTCTCGAGTTAAGTGTCCTCGATGGGCAATGTTTGTGCAATGTGCATGCTTATGCCGTAAGAAAGGAATGCAGATGCCTGGGGTAAGGTAAAAGAAGCGTAATCGTACCGGGTGGATTAGATAATCTATAATTAGTACGACCCCGCTAAACCCGCCCGGGGAAGGCGCATTCCCGATCGGCGATAAGATTCGTCGAGGACCAAGTTACGGATTACCTAAGCGGTAACCCGATCGGAGGCGTCCCAAGACCCAAGTCACACTCTCCTCTCTTGTCTCTCCCTCTTCCATTCCCTCCCGCTCGGTCTCCGGTACTTCTCTTTTCCTCCGTTCCAAACGGGAATGCTCATCGCTCTTTGCCTTTGCCGCCTCACGTTCCTGGTACCTTGACGACCCTTTCTTCACCTCTCCCTGTCGTCGTTTGTGTCGGAACGCAACCCCCTATATCTGGAACGCCTTGAAACAACACCGAAAAAAAGTTGAAAAAATTATCTTTACATATACATACCTCCCGACAATTCCAGAGAGAGAACAAGAGATAAGAGACCTGGTTGTCTACTAACCTCTCTCTTTCTCTCTCCCTCGCCACCACTCCCCTAAGTCCCAAGATGACCAACTCCAACTATACAAGTAACGAGAACATCGACATGTCCGACGACACCTCAGACGATGGCTTGTACCACCAGTCCTCCGGTCCGTCCTACCGACTGGCCAGATTTACCCGTCCCCTTATCGACTACGTCCGGAACGAATGGCAAACGGGCACCAAATACTCCCACCTTCCGACCTCCTCTACCTCCGAACGCTCCGAATCGCCTCGCTGGGTGCAGATGATCACCTCGATCGTGACGGCGCCGCGATTCCGTCGTTACGTCGTCGTCTACCTGACCCTGCTGCTCTCGTGTTTCGTCGGCTGGAAGTTTGTGTTGTCGCCGCGCCTGCAGGAACATTCGGCGCTGCTGCGATCGCTCGACCCCAACGTCAAGGATGAGGTCGGGGGCTGGTTCGGTTCCAACGCTTTGCCGACTTTTGATAATATCGTGCAATTGAGAGACTTAGATCCGTCCTATCTGCCTGCGGAGAAGGCCGCTGGACCGAATGAACTCAATCAACGGCGGCTGATCATGATCGGCGACGTGCATGGGTGCAAGGAAGAGTGTACGTACAACCTGTCGCTCCCTATCCCCCCTTTCTCTTTCCATGGTTATTCGGAAGTCGAGATACTAATTTTAATATTGTTGCAACAGTGGAA